TGCAGATCAGCTTGATCATTTTGATACTTGTTTTTAAGCATTTTTAGTGTGAAGCTTGAGCAGAATTTAATCAGTGGTATTGACAGATTTTTTTTTCCTCCCAATACCCACTAACGGTGCCCTATAGTTCAATTCAACTCTGACACTAACTATCTGGACTAAGCATCAGGTTCAGTAGGTTTAAGGTCTCAGTCCCCTAAAATTGCTCTCACTTCAGACACCAGCCTCCCTTTAGACTGAATTATTGAGTCCCCAGATTACTCACACTTCTATCCAACTTGAATGGAAAGTTGAGTATTCCCACAATCCCCTTCCTTCATGTTCAATAATTTGCTAGAATGACTCATAGAACTCAGGAAAATGATTTACTTTATTACCAATTTGTGATCAAGGGCACAACTCAGGAACATCCCTAAGGAAGAGCTGCATAGGGCAAGGTATGGAGAGAAGGGGGCTTGGAGTCTCCACTCCCTCCCAGCATGTCTATGTGTTGAACAATCCAGAAGCTCCATAAACCCTATCATTTAGGGGGTTTAATGGAGGTTTTATACTGAGGCATGATTGATTAGCTTTCTGGCAATTGGTGATTAACTCAGTACCTGGGCTAGCCCTTCTTCCCCTGCCCTCCAGGTTTGGGGGTGGGACTAAAAGTTCCAAGCTTCTAATCAAGCCTTCATCTTTCTGGTGACCAGTCACCACCCAGAAGCTATCTAATGGCCTGCCAAGGTTAGAACAAAAGTCACTCCTGTCACTGTAATCATTCAGGAATAATAACCAAGGTTTTTAAGAGCTCTGTGTCCGTAGCCGTGGACACACAGACAAAATGTCTTGCTATGATGCTTGTGGTAAAAAGCAAAACAAAACAACAAAACTCAAACTAATTGTGAGTTGTAGTATTTGCTGATTTTCTTGGTGTAAATCTTCCATATCTAATTTCCAGCTACCAATGTATGTCACTGAAGTTGAGAAGAGATATGTACAGTTGGCTCTCACAAACCAGTGGGAGCTGATTCCAACACACCACTGCCTTTACTCTGGTCTAGTTTAGCCCTAAGACGAAAGCATAACCATTTTGAGGTCTTTATTGAATGCACGGCTATTGAAAAAGGTCTTTCCATTCTGAATGGTCAGAACTTGAACTTCCATCCATCCTGTGTAAGCTCTGGGAATTATTCACCTTATATTTCCCTGGTCATTGTTCCTTCTCTCAATTTTGTCTGCATAGCCTTCATGGAGTTTTATTCTACTTGGAAATAGCTTAGTGGTCAGTCAAGGGTTCAAGAGAAAACTTCGTCCAGATTTCTGAATCTCTATCTTTATATATCTCTCTTCTCTCTGGCATTCTACCTTGAACATTCCAGCTGTTTTGGCCTCTCTAAACTTTAATGTGTCTCCTCCACTCAGTGAGACTGCTATGATCTTCTTGGGTTTCCCACCCTAGCATCACATTCCAAAAAGTTCCTCCAGGCAGAAAACTGTGCTAATCTTTGGTCTTACCTGGTTTATTTCCTTCTGTGGAGCCTATTGTGCAGGGTCTGGAACTGCTGTTTCATCTGTTTGTCTAGTCTCCTGGATATTTACAGTGGGAGTGCAAGTCTGTTAGCAGTTGCTCCATTGCAGCCAGAAGAGGGGGTCATCTTCCGATTCCATTTACATAAAGCTAATTATTTTCTTATAGGGAGATATCCTGTTTTGTTGAGATGGAGTCTTACTTAGTCGCTCTTGGTAGAGTGTCCTGGCGTCATAGCTCATAGCAACCTAAAACTCTTGAACTCAAGCAATCCTCCTGTAGTCCCTAGCAGCTGGCACTACAGGCACCTGCCACAATGCCTAGTGAGGTTTTCAGAAACAGGGTTTCACTCTTGCTCAGGCTAGTATCAAACTCCTGAGCTCAAGCAATCCACCGCCTCAACTGGGATTATAGGCATGAGTCACCGGGCCGGCCTGAGATATCCTATCTCTGATGTCATATTTTCCTTTTACAAAGCTTATCTTTGTATTTTCACAGAAAACACAGCTTATCTTTCATTTTCACAGAAACCATCAGCTTGCTACTCTTTCACCCTACCTCACCTTAGTGAATGCATTGCCCACACATGCTGGAGTAAGCCTCATGAGGGCAGCATTCTGAAAGAGGCACCTTTCATCTGGAGTTCCCTCTCTGTGTAACAGAAGCTCGACTGCTGTATTCAGGTGGGGGCCATTGGAACCAGAATTATCCACAACAATACCTGGAGGAGTGTCTTACCTCAGGAGATTATAAAAACCACATAAGGACTAATTGAAAGTAACTGAACTCACATCAACAAATGAGAATAAAGTACAATTTAGTATGGCTAGTTATGCATGAAATAACAAATGTGTAACATTTCATTTTTTTCAATTTGAACTTCAAATTCTTATGAAGACAGTGGGAAAAAGCTTTAAGTAGGTCTGCCTAAGGGCCTGTGTCGGTGCTGGTACAATGTGGACTTCCCTTGGCTTGCAGTGTTCTGCGTGGCTGATCCTCTTCTGAGTGTCCCGTGCTGTTCTTGCTCCATAGGAGTCTGTGCCTGAAAGAGTCCTCTATTTATCAGCACCTTTCTTACCTGGTACGTGACCATGTTTTAGTCTGAAATTACTTTTAGGCTCCAGAAGTCTGGGCCTTTAACGACCAAAATGATAAGATTTTTCTTTCTTCCAATGTGCTCTACAAAATGCGTTCTGTTGGTCACCTGTCATCAGAGAAGGGCTTGTCTTTTTAATGGTATGACCCTGTGACTGCTGTAACAAATTACCACACACTGGACAGCTTAAAACAACAGAAACTTCTCTTACAGTTCTGGAGGCCAGAGGTCCAATGTCAGTATCACTGGATCAAAATCAAGGTGTTGACAGGGCCGCAGATTCTCCCATTCTAGAGGCTCGAGGGGAGAATCTGTTCCTTGCTCCTTCTTTCTCCCTCTTGGTCAATGTTGGCATTCCTCACCTTGGGGTCCATTGGAACCAGAATTATTCACAACAATACCTGGAGGAATATTTACTCCTTGGGGATGTGTTAGTCCAGTTTTCAAAGCCAGTGTCTTCAAATCTCTCTCTGCTTCTTCTTTATGTTGCTTTCTCCTTTCACCTATCAAAACTCCTTCTACCACTTTCTTAAAGGAACATTTGTGATGGTACGTGGGCTCTTCCTGCACCATCCAGGATAATGTTCTCATGTCAAGACACTTAATCACATCTGAAAAGACTCTTTTTCCAAATCAGATAACATTTATAGGTTCCAGGAATTAGGATTTGAATACCCTTTTATGGTGGGGGGGGGTGTTGAAGGAAACATTTTTCAGCTTACCACATAGGGGTTCTGCTTGACATCTACGTGAATTTCCTCAATTACTATGGAATTCTGGGAGACAAGACATCTGGCAATGGTGAGGAATTTTGGAAAGATTTCAAGAGAGCCCAGATCGACAAGATAATGCCCACAGCTACCACCAACCACCTGAGAGTCTAAGTGGGGAGGAAAATTAGAAAAAGCAAAAAGAAAGATTCTGGGCACAGATAGTAAGAGACGAAAGAAAAATAAAAGGGGAAAAAATAATGAAAAGAAATAGCTCCATCTGGAGGACAGCAGTCAACCACTAAGTGACCACACATTTAATGACCAGCCATAATCTGTATAACCATATTACGTTCCCTGTTGAGGGAAAGAAAACGAGTCTGACATCATCCTTGCCATCAGAGAGCCTTTTACATAGGAAATGTATAAATCTACCTTTAGTATAAGGTGTGTTAATACAATGACTATACTGAAGGGTCAAAATGATGTGGGAACTTGAAGTCCACAGGAGCTTGAGAGATCAGAAAAGGTTTCACAAAGGAGACAGTGTATGAGTAATACCTAGAAGCAGTAGTAGAAGGGGCAAAAGGCTTTGCACAACTGTGCGCCTCGGGCCTATCCAAATCCATGCTTTGTAACTTCAGCTGAGCAAGGTTTCAGCACAAGGCAGGCTGACAACCAGGTTCTTATAATTCCTTTTTTATTCACTGCAGCAACCATGTCAGACCCTTCTCCTTCTCCTCAAGCTCTACCCCACCACCTCTTTCTAATTCCCAATGGAAAATTATATGCAAGAACATTTCCCACTTCCTTCATCTATGAGTCTAACCATATCCTCCTCCTCCAAGACTGCTTCTGCCCAGCCCAGGGAAGAGGCATTCCTCCCCTGTGTAAGGCCTATGGACGCCCAGCCCGCCCTGTGCTTGGGCTTACTCCTCCTTCCACCTCTGATGGGACTTCACTCTGCCTGTGATTCCTTCTCTCTCACAGGAGGTGGTTAAGAGAGCAGGCTTCAAGTGGAACAGCCTGGCTTCAAATCTCAGTTGCACTTCTCTCTGGCTGTTACATGAGTCGCTTCACTCTCTGAGCCTTGGTTTCCCTGTTTGCAAGATGGAAAAGCAATGGTGCCTACTTGGTAAGGTTGTTGAGAGGATTGAATGAGCTATTCCTTATAAAACAGAGTTGAGTGTCTGGCCCACAGAAGGTGCTTGGTGGGTGCCAGTACACATGGTAACCTCCACCGACCGGGGGTTCTTTCCTTTTAATTTTTTTTTCTTTGAGACAGAGTCTCACTCTGTCACCCAGGCTAGAGTGCTGTGTCATCAGCCTAGCTCACAGCAACCTTAAACTCCTGGGTTCTAGCAATCCTCTTGCCTTAGCCTCCTGAGTAGCTGGGGTTACAGGTACTTGCCAGGATACCAGGCTAATTTTTCTATTTTTAGTGGAGACGGGTTCTTACTCTTGTTCAGGCTGGTTTTGAACTCCTGAGCTCAAGCAATCTTCCTGCCTTGGCCTCCCAGAGTGCTAAGACTACAGTTGTGAGCCACTGTGGTGGCTTCTCAGTGGGCTCTTTAAACTGCTTCAACTCATCTTCAAATTGTTCCTGTCTATTTATGGAAATAAAACTCCCTTTCTATATCATCTCCTTTACCACTTGTTCTTTCCTTTTTTTGTTTTTTTTTTGCAGGGAAGGGCACAAATACAGTCCCCCAGCTGCCACAAATAATGCAGTCAAGTGTCTCAAATTTGAAGTAATCACACGGGTCAGCAGATCTAAGTGCAGTGGATAAACTTTGCCCTGGGAAAACCACCTTTGTGATCAAGGTATCTCCCCCTGTCAGGTTTTACCATTTGCTCTTTCTCTCCATTTGTCTTTATAACCAACTCTTGAAAGAATGGTCCAAGCTGTGTCCTGCATTTCAAGAAAGCCTGGAGCATGAATGGAAGACACAGGGACAGTGGAAGGTGGGCAGACTGGGGCCAAGTCATGGGCAAGCTGAGGTGCTGGACTTGACCCTGAAGTTTGCAGGGAGCTGTTGACAGAGCTCTGCTGTGGCAGAGAACTGTGACCATCAGAGCTGTACTTTAAGAATATTAATCAGCTGGTACAAAAATAGAGACATAGATCTATGGAACGGAATTGAAAACCTAGAGATAAAACCAACTTCATATTACCATCTGTTCTTCGATAAACCCAGCAAAAGCATACACCGGGGAAAAGAACCTACTTAATAAATGGTGCTGGGAGAACTGGATAACCACATATAAAAGACTGAAACTGGACCCACACCTCTCATCACTCACAAAAATTGACTCACAATGGATAAAAGATTTAAATCTAAGACACAAAATGATAAAAATCCTAGAAGAAAATGTGGGGAAAACTTTTGATAATATTGGCCTGTGAAAAGATTTTATGGACTACACCTGTAGTTCAGCAGCTAGAGAGCCAGCCATACACTGGAGCTGGTGGGTTTGAATCCAACTCTGGCCTACAAAACAACAATGACAACTACAACCGAAAAATAGCCAGCGTTGTGGCAGCACCTATAGTCCCAGCTACTTGGGAAGCTGAGGCAAGAGAATCACTTAAGCCCAAGAGTTGGAGGTTGCTGTGAGCTGTGACATCACAGCAGTCTACCAAGGATGACATAGTGACTCTGTTTCAAAAAAAAAAAAAAAAGATTTTATGAAGAAAACTTCAGTGGCAATCGCATCAACAACAAAAATAAACAAATGGGACTTAATTAAGCTAAGAAGATTCTGCAAACTAAGGATACAACAATTAAATCAAATAGACAACCTTCAGAATGGGAAAAGATATTTGCATGTTACAAATTTGACAAAGCATCAATTACAAGAATCTACAGATAACTCAGATTAATCAACAAAACAAGATCAAACAATCCCATTTATCACTGGGCAAGAGATATGAACAGACAATTCTCCAGAGAAAATAAATAAATAGCCAACAAACACATGAAAAAATGCTCATTGTCCCTAATCATCAGAGAAATGCAACTCAAAATCACCCTGAAATATCTCCTAACCTAAGGTGACCAGACGTCCCACTTTTAGCGGACGGTCCGATTTTTAACAATTTTTCCCACATCCCGCTGTGTTTTTAAAAAGTCCTGATTTTTGGAAAGAATGCACAACAATCTAGGGAACGGTGGGGCAACGGGAAGGGAATATACGGTTTTCAGCTGCTGAAAAGGTTAATGTAACTCCATTTGGGAATGAAGAGGTTAATGTAACTTCATTTGGAAATGAAAAGGCTAATGTAAACTCCCTACTCCCCTCCTGGGAAAGGTCGCCCAGGTGGACCTGCGCCCTACTCCTTTGAGCCACAGGCGCTGCCCTATACATAATTTTTTTTTAATGTATTATATTTGTAAATTGTTGAAATTAAAAAAAATATTACAATACTATTTTTGCATTCTATGAAAATTTTTGTTGCTCCATATAGACCAAATTTTTAATCAAGAACCCCTCCTCCACCCCACCCCCATCAATGGTGTCCCGCTTTACCAATGTTACAATCTGGTCACCTTATCCTAACCCCAGTGAGAATAACCCACATCACAAAGTCTCAAAGCTGCAAATGCTGGAATGGATGTGGAGAGAAGGGAACATTTTTACACTGCTGGTAGGATTGTAAACTAATATAGGTTCTTTGGAAAGAAATATGGAGAATCTTCAAAGAACTCAAAATAGACATTCCATTTGATCCCACAATCTCATTACTAGGTATCTACCCAGAAGAAAAAAAAAACCATTTTGCCATAAGGACATTTGCACTAGTATATTTATCACAGCTCAATTTACAATCACCAAGAGGTGGAATCAACCGAAATGCCCATCAATATATGAATGGATTAATAAACTGTGGTGTATGTATACCATGGAATACTCTTCAGCCATAAAAAGATGAAGACTTTACATCTTTTGTATTGACCTAGATGGAGTTGGTTAACATACTCCTCAGTAAAGTATCACAAGAATGGAAAAGCAAGTATCCAATATACTCAATACTAATATAAAACCAGTACATGAACAAATACAAGCCCATACAAGAGAAAAAGTCAATTAAATTCAAGTGAGGAGGAGGAGAGGAGGGGGAAGAGGGAGAGGGATTGGTGTGCTCTCACCTAACAGGCATAGTGTAAGTGTATATGGCACACCCACTGGGTGAGGGGCACAGCTACAACTTGGACTTTACCTAATGAATTCAAACAATGTAGCCTAATTGTCTATACCCTCATATTAACCCAAAATTTTAAAAATATTAATCAGGCAGCAATATATAAGTGAGAACTTGTAGAAAGTTGTTTTTGCACTGGGAAATATGAGCTTATGAGCCAAAGGGGGGCAAGATAAATAAATGCCACGTGTCAAATTGGATAGACTTTGGCAAGGGATGGAATTTGGGAGAAGAGAAAGAAGACGTTATTTCTGACGAGTGTGAGGATTCCAGTCTGCTGGCTGCCTTGACCCCAACAGGGGAGCGAGGGGATAGACAACGAGAAGCTAGTTTCGGGATGAAGATGAGCTCAGATTGGGATTTGCTGGGTTTGAAAAATAGCACTAGACACCAGGTGTCACTATACTCCCAAGTCTGAAAACAGCAGAGCAGCCAGTGAGCTATGGAGATTGCCATCTCCTGGCTGGGCTCCTGTGCGGACCTCCCCTCTCCTGCAGGGCTGGCATGGAAACTCCACATGCAGCACAGACTCAGGGTGTATTAGACATTCCACATCGCTGATGGCCCCTTCTGAAATTCCACCCTTGAAAACTAGTCATTTGGGCCTTTAAGGATTTTGATCTTGGGGATGTAAGTGTTAAGCCAGGGATTACAAACTCACATGCCTCAGGTAGTTCCCAAGGGAATATTATAGGGCGAATTGAGGTCTGTGCAGCTACAGTGCACGCCCTGTCTCAAGACATTCAAATTCACAAATTGAAACAAGAAGATCACTGTGCTGGCTTAACTAAATCCCTCTGGAGCCCATGCCAAGCTACTCACTCAAGGACTATTGGCAATAGGTACTCGACAGATACTGCTAAAGCCTTGAATGCTTAGGAACACAGAGGGAAGGGGGAGGTGCTGGAAGTGGGATAAACTGAGCCTTGGCCTTTTGTTTTATGAAGACCGTTTCTCTCATGCTCATGTCCCAGGTGCCCAAGAGTTGGGACATAGTGTTGGAGGCTCAGAGAGGCCATAGTCCTTCTCTGTCCTGGTGCAAGCAGAGAAAATGGGTGTATATTCCCTGATTCATTGGTCCCCAGATTTCAGGCACTTGGGAAAGTCCCTATCCTCACGATTTTTGCCATATCACCTGGACTGACTGTAAATAGGCCTTAAATCAATTCCCCTTTTTATGTAGGCTCATCACAAGCAATATCTGTGAAATAAACTTCATGTGTGAATTATGTTTTATTCTAACACACTCTTTTTTTTTTTTTTTGGAGACAGTGTCTCACTATGTTGCTCTTGGTAGAGTACCACGGTGTCACAACTCACAGCAACCTCCAACTCTTGGGCTTAAGTGATTCTCTTGCCTCAGCCTCCCAAGTAGCCAGGACTACAGGCACCCACCACAACACCCGGCTATTTTCTTGTTGTAGTTGTCATTGTTGTTTAGGTGGCCCGGTCCAGGCTTGAACTTGCTTGCCTCAGTGCATGTGGCTGGTACCATAACCACTGTGATATGGGCACAGAGCCTCAAACATACTTTAAAATTTAAAAAAAATGGACATAAAATTAAAATCCAGGCTCCACCACCTAAACTATTCTCAAGCACCTACAGAAGTATGCACATCATATGTGACATGCTGGGAAACCCTGATTCAAGGCCCTCCTTTTACAGATGAAGAAACTAAGGCAGCCCAAGTGTAGTTTGATGTTCGGAAGCACTGGCTGCAGGTAGATAAGCGCCAGGTTCTAATCCAAACTGTACAGCCTTGGTCTGTTTCCTTACAACTTATGGGTTTCTTTTTCTTTTTTCTTTTGAGACAAACCCTCAAGCTGTCACCCTGGGTAGAGTGCTGTAGCATCACAGCTCACAGCAACCTCCAACTCCTGGGCTTTAAGTGAGTCTCTTGCCTCAGCCTCCCAAGTAGCTGGGACTACAGGCACCCACTACAACACCTGGCTATTTTTTGGTTGTAGTTGTCATTATTGTTTGGCAGGCCCGGGCTGGATTTGAACCCGCCAGCTCTGGTGTATGTGGCTGGCGCCTTAGCCGCTTAAGCTACAGGCACCGAGCCAACTTATGGGTTTCTGTTTGCTCATCTGTAAAATGGAGGAAACAATATCTGTCTCCCATCCACACTTGGAGAACTAGTGAGAATGTGTGTGTGTAAAGCCCTCATGGAGGGGTGCTGTTGTGGATTCTGACGTCACTGCTTATCCTGTCCCCATTCCAGAGTGAGCCAGGGGCCGGTCTGGAGCCAGGACCATTTTTCCTGCCCCCGCAGCCAGGATGCATGCTCCACAGGGAGAATGCCCCTCTGCAGACCAGCCCAGCCTTACTTTCTCAGCAGCCAGCCCTGGGGCAGCCCTGCTGCTCCTCCCTCCTCTCCTACCCACCTCCACGGCTACACAGGTGGCTAGTCAATGATCACACCATCATTGAAGGAAATACAGGATGCACAGGTGTTGAGGAAGATGTCACGGAAAGCACGGAATGTCCACCCTTCTCACATCTCAAATATTTGACATTCCCTACAGCAGCTGATGGCCTTAAAGAAACACACGACACCACCATTTTCTATGGATAGCTACTCTCAAGGCAACACCATGTTCCAGAATATTCCACAAAAGGACCAATAAATCGAGCTGCT